AAAATGTCACTCCATCTAGTGGACGAGGTACTAAACAACTGCATATCCGAAATTTGCCCGATTCCTCTGAATAAGGGAGAAAAACTTTCTTATTAGTCAGTGGGCTATGCTTGAAAACTGTCAGTAAACAAATCTTAAGAAATTAACTTCAAACGTTCAAGCCAGTCTCGGATATACCTACACAGTAGGTTGAATGGATTGGCGCCTATTAGAAAACAACTACTCCCCTGGCTAATACTACAAAGGGCGTTGAATTATATCCGACAGGCGTCAGTGCAGTGCATATGCAATTGTCAATACAAAATTAGGTAATTAACTAAAGTATATCTGCTAAACTAATCATGAATTTTCGTTCATTCAGGTGTCTGGAAGGTATGTGAATTTTTTTTCTAATAATGATATTCAATGGGTTGAAATAATGTTTATTGTTCGAAGGTGCATATCGATCAGCGTGTGCGAGTGGGGAACGCCTGCTTTTAGCGCTATTTTCGCCTCTAAATTAAAATTATAAATGAAGGTGATGGAGTTTCGGGAGGAAATTTTTTTTCAGTACATTTCCTGCTCTTTAAAGATATTTTTTCAAATTTCGGATATATTCAATATTTTCCGAGATATTTGCAAAAAACTAAAACCCCTTTTTTTCTAATTTTTCATAACTTTTGAACTTTTTTCGAATCCCTCTTGAAATTTTCCAAAGAGTTGCTAGAGGTCATTCATTGAATCGAATGAACCCTGAATCATATTTTTCGGTGCCGTTGGACAGAAGTTCCAAAAAAATGATGTTGTGACCCACAGACTATTGAATAACAAATCAAATAATAATTATGTGAGTCGTGAGCATCAACTGAAAATTCAAATAACATCATTCTCACCTTGGCAAGCTTCTCTTCCGTTTTGGCAATGATCGTCTCGTAACTCTCTCTATGTGTAAAAACTTTCCTAGACTGAATTTTTCTGTGAAAAGACCTCTCGAGCAACGGCCTTGACACTTGTCTACCCAGAATGGAGGCGATGTCTCCGAGAGCTTGAGAGTCGATCTCGACTTCTTGAAGGAGGGTTTCCCAGGTATGGAATAAAGAGCTGGGACATGCTGGCCTAGAACAGAAAGAAATAATTAGGATGATGGAAGATATGATTATTATTTCCTGAAAGGCTGTATCAGCGTAAATTCCTTTGTTGCGTTCGGAATTGGAGTGGAACAACCGCGATTAATATCTGATGAGTTGCTGCAAAAGGCAGTAGCTCGGTTTCAATTTATAATCAATTATAAGACAGTCTACCACGGCTCGCATATATAGTCGACTCAACGAAATCTATTTCAAGGAAGCCCTTAGAAATATGTTTCAGAATGATGTCTTCATTATTTTAATTTATTTTCATTAGGTGCGATAAAAAAAACATATAAAAATTACCTTCGTTCTTAATGCAACAATAGTACAGTAGATATTTCCGTAATAATTATTGAAATTGCTTTTACTAGATATACTGAAGATGGAATTGAAGCATCTGCGAGACATCGCAGATAAAATTTTATAAGATATTGTTACTTTTTTCTCGTGGTTTGACAATAATTCTTCACACTGTGTAATTGAACTCAACGTCATTTCATTGCTACACTGAAAATATAACCAAATACTTCTAAAACTAATGTTCAAATGTCTATCGCTTCATTGGACCACACCGTACCACACTGTCTACGGCGCTTTCTCGATATGCGTGTGGGTAGTGTTTATATATGGTAATCGAAGTCTCTCGAAGTTGATAGGGTAACCAGCGGCGGTCGGCGTAATTTTATTCCAGGAGATGATTTGCAACACTACCCCCTTTCCTGAGGTTGTTCACCACGAACAATATTTCAAGGAATATCATCACGACCAATGTGAGGATTCAGTCGCTCTATGTGGAAAACTTTGGCCTTGCTTGTGGTTGACTATTGGATTCTGTACATCAGATAGTTGATTTTTTTGGGAACCAAGTGAGTTCCTTGCCAGGATGGACGATGACCTAGGAGGACAACTCCTCGGAAGGATGTACAATGGGCCATATGTGGTCTAAGTGATGTGAGTCTACCCTCAACCTCTCTACTCTACAGATACGGAAGCTTCAGTATACGACCAGTTAACAACATGGATGTTGTCATGTTGGGAGCTTCTGTATGCCAAAAGTGGGAAAGAAATCAGTTTCTTTGGTTCTCGTAGATGAACATCGAGAAGTAGTTATTTATGGTGCAATTATACCTCTACGACTATTCCATTGGACTATGGTGAGAGAGCAGTTACTCTCGTCTCCTTCATTCTCAACAGAGTCATCATTTCTGTTCATCAATCTGATTCAAAGTTGGGGTCCTGATCCAGTGTAACTGGGGCAATTATTTTCTGCAACAAGCCTCTGCCACAGTTTTAGCCTCTTGGTTAGCTGAGGCTACTACTTCAGGCCATTTGGAGAAATAGCCCATCACAACAATAAAATACTTTTTACCATATGTGGTTATTGGATGTGATCCCAGAATGTCAACTGCGTTTCTCTCGAAAAATCACCGACTGAGGTATTGCTTCAACCTTCATCTCTGCCTTGTCTTTTTTGAGGAGCATAAGCTAAAAAATTTACGCGTCTCGGCGACAATTGGATCTAGTGCCACTCCTCAAATCGTCGTCCTTTATTAGTGGAAGACTTAATTGTTGTCCTGATAAAGAATAGATTCAATATCAAATTCAAATACAAATATTAACATCCATTTCAAGTCATCTCTATTCAGAAAGTATAATGTTTCTGTCTTCAAATCATCTAGAGGAACAATTCGTGCAATTCCCCACACTGTAGGTTAATCAACTGACACATATCAGGAAACAACTACTCCCCTGGGTAATATCTCGAAGGGCGCTGGATTATATCCGACAGGTTTCTTCCAGGAATCCAGGATTCTTCACTGAAGTTATTCCTGCATATGCTGTTGGCGATACAACTGCCGCAATAGATTTTCAATTATTGGAACACACTTGCAGACCGGTTTCGGGATGTTTAGCCACTCGTCAGTGCAAGGTAGTGTCTATCTTCAACATGGTCGATGATTTCCGATAATTGAAAATCAACTGCCTTTAGAGTATCATTCCACGAACTAGACTGAAGCGGACAACAAACAATACGTTTGTCGGATATAATCCAACACCCTTCGTAGTATTAGCCAGGGGAGTAGTTGTTCCTCTAGATCAGGGCTCTCCAAACTTTGAAGCCTTCGGGCCATAATGATTTTTTCAGTTTGTTCCAAGGGACAATTTCTGCCCTCAACTATATTTCAAGACTAGGATAGTCGCAAAGTGCGTGATCTAAGAAAACTTACGCTTTTTTGGCATTTCAATTATTATAGTGTATTGTGACACTTAGCGACATCTAGTGGCGAGTAGTGGTACTATGTACTATCTTTTTCAGATACCCGCTAGGTGGCATTAGGCGTAATTTAATATTTGGAATTACCGCGTTGGTTCGAGAAAGTTCTGGTTCTAGCTAGTGTATTTTGATAACCTCGAGATGGCAGTAATAATTGCATATAAAAATGCTAGCGGCGCAACTGCGAGTTAGTCTGCGTAGGAAAGGCAAAGGAAGCGAAAGTGTCTATTGTGAAATAAAGTAACATCCGTCAATAAAAGTATTTTGATTCGACTTATTGTTTTCATGTGTGATTTGTTAGTGTGGAAAAGAAGCGCAAAATCGATAGTGAATGCAGAACGTTCCAAGAAAAATGTAACTTTCAGTATTTTGTGATTGAGTCCAGTAATAAGGCGCTATGTTTAATTGGCAATGAAACCATAGCTGTTCTGTTAAACAACACTATGAATCGAAACATCTTCAAAGGTACTCCAAGTATACAGGAAGTTTGCGGAAGGAAAAATTTGAAGCTTTGAAACGTGGACTTAAATCGCAGCAATCTTTGTTTACCAAAGCGAATACTGAACAAGAGTCTGCAACTCGAGCCAGCTTTCGTGTGGCTCTTCAAATCGGAAAACGTGGCAAACCATTCACCGATGGAGAAATGATGAAAGAATGCTTGATTGCAGTAGCCGAAGAAATATGCCCCGAAAAGGTAAATTTATTTAAAAGTGTCAGTTTGTCAGCAAACATCGTGGCTCGGAGGGTGCAGGACATCGCAGAAAGTATATATCATCCATTGATAAAAAGAACCTTCGATGGAGAAATTTGGAATCTATAACAACTGATGGAGGAAAAATATGTATGGTGAAGATAAAGGAGTGGTTGTGTCAAAGGCTGTAGAAAATGATGGTGGTTCAAAACCATTAGTCTTACATTGTATCATTCATCAACAGTTCTTGTGCGGAAAATGGTTGAGTTTCTTGGTATTGGAACTGCAGACCAGTTCCGGGATGTTTAGCCACTCGTCAGTGCAAGATAGTATCTATCTTCAACATGGTCGATGATTTCCGATAATTGAAAAACAAATTCCTTCAGAGTATCATTCCACGAACTAGACTGAAGCGGACAACAAACAATAAGTTTGTCGAATATAATCCAACACCTTTCGTAGTATTGGCCAGGGGAGTAGTTGTTTTCTGATAGGTGTCAGTCCATCAACCTACAGTGTAGAGAGTTGAGACTGACCTGAACGAATTGTTCCTCTCTAGATGATTCGATTTATAGTCAGTCTTCAAGTATGCACACTGACTATATGTGAAATGTTTCTGTCTTGTTCATCGAGTTTTATATAGCGGTATTCATTGGAACATAAAAATGGGCTTAAATATTTTGAAGTATTTGTAATTCATCACGTTGAAAAAATATCATTCATCTCTAATCGATTGTGAGCTCCTACCAAACAATCTCCAGTTCCAATTCAAAGTGAAATCCAAAGGATGACGGGTATAGAAGATGACCGGTCAGATCGCAGAGGAAAGTGAATTATTGGAATTCCGAACGGAATTTCTACTATTGAAGGATCTAAAATTGAATTGAATATCGGGATATAGAATACGAATATGAGTACCAGTTCTTTCATACCTGATATCTAATGAAAAATGAACTGAAGAGTGTAAAAAAACGAATGCATCACCTTTTCTATTGATACAAATAACGAACAAATATGACAATTACAGTTTCAATCTCATATATTAGGTTTGCGATGTTGAATTTCCTTCTAAACTTTTTGGTGAGAAAATGATTTTTGAAAAATGATTCGATGTGAACTGTTGATTGAATGAATCCACAGAAATCCTATATAGGTTTCATCCTCTGTAATATGAAATGTTGAAAATTGTTCAACAGTGAATTTTAAAATATAAATGAGGTTTCACTGTATATGTCCAGTTATATTGAAAATAATAAGTGAAATTCTACCTCTTTCAGTTGATATGTTGTGTAGGAATCCTGTGAATGATATCTGATTCATTTCCAGAACGAATGTTTGGAATACAAACTGTATAGAGGAAAGTGTTTGCGTATAATTCAGTGTTCATATAAAAGTATATGTTTCGAAAGTATTTTCTGATCGAACTAACCGAACTATTTTCATTAGTTTTCATTAGTTAATTTCATTAGTTCGGTTTCTCATTGTCTAATATTATATAAATTCATTTGAAACCCCTGAAAGAACTAATGAAAAATGAAGAATTGAAAATGAATAGCTGAAAATAACAATTATAATAAGTAAAAAACCCGACAAAATGGAATTAAACATTGAAAAGTTAAGAGATTCCAAACCAAGTTACGTCACGACGTTCCGATTGTTAGTATCCACAATCGTCTTCGGGTGATTACTGGATCAATTCCTCCGTGAGTTGACTATTTATAGGTCATTTGAGTACTTTCAATTATCTGCGTTTTTTTTCCGCTTCCCCAGTTTAGTGGGAGATAACCTTTTGGCGAGTGTTGGCCATTTTTTGCTTGATTATGGGTTTCCATATGTTGCGTATCTTTACGCTAGCTTGCCTGAACACTTTGTTGGACAATATGTATACGGCTGCTTTTAATTTCCGCCTAACCAATATTCCTCCCTGTGTCGGGGACCACTCGATGTTATCTTGATGGGTCCAAACATACTCTGCTATTCCTGATTTGATGGTTTTCTCTCGCTGTGTGTGTCTGCTGAG